CCACTCACCCCAACCAGTCGAGGCAGAAGGCTGCCCACCAAGAGCCGGGGTCTGTCGGAGGTTTCTTCTGTTAAAGGGAGTTTTTCCTGCCTGCTGTTGCTAAGTGCTTGCACAAGGGGGATTTGTTGGGTTTTTCCTTTATAATAATAATAATAATAGTAAGTTCTAAACTTTACTCTGTAAAGTGTCCTGAGATAATTTTTCTTGTTATTTGGTGGAGGCAAATAAAATGAAATTGAACTGAATTAAGTTCAGGTGAGTGCTGGATGGTAAGTGTATGACATTTTAATTACACATAAAAATCTCTATGTATTGAATATGATATCATTAGTTTGGGAGAGGGAAAGAAAGAGAGAGAGACTGCTTAGTCTTTCTCTCTCAAATGATATGATGGCTCAGTGGTTACCACTGATGCCTTACAAAGAGATTCTTCATTTTCAAACCCTATTGTTGCTGCCTGGCAAATTTTCTTGAGAAAATGTAGTTTTACCTTTACTGTATAAAAAATGTGATGCTCAAGAAATGAATGGTCCTCTCCCAACAGTACCTGTTCCGGCTCCAAGCCTCACACCCCCCAGCAGGTTACTGGCTAGCTTGTCTCGGTCCCAGACAGTGAGCTCCAGACAGGCTTCCTGTAGATCAGCCTCTCTGAGGCCATCGTACACCATTGTGTGGTTAAACACTGGATTCACTGTTCTCCGCAGCACACGTGTCTTCTGCCGACTCTTCCTGCTTGTGTCTGGCAGCAGGAAGCTTGAGATGAGAGGAAAAGGAAACATGTTGATTAACACAGTAGAAAACTAAAACTGATATTCTTAATTGTGAAGAATGTTTTGTGCATACCACTTAACATATGGATCAATGGTGGCCCTGATTAGAGGCAGGTTCTTGCATTCTTTCACCCAAATGTGAATCTCTCCAATGTTTTCACCATCTTTAGCTTTGCCTTTAAAAAAGAAATACCACACAAAATGTTTATGAACCTGTGATTATTTTGCCATACGGCACCAAAACTGTGTAACATATTTGCTCAATCAAATTAAAACCAATATTTGACTCTAAGAAATTTGAGTTCTGTGAAAAATTTGTGCACAGTTTCTAGCAAATGCAAAGCTAAGATAAAAACTGATTAAAAATAGATTTTGGTCCAGATGTTCTCCAGATCTGAAGTGCTCATTGGAGAGAACTCCCTCATGAATTAAAGAGCAAAAAGCACAACAGTGCCAGGAGAACTTTCCACAATCTGGTACCAAACATTGTTCTTATATGGCTTACTGATCTATAAAGCATTAGTATATAGATTTAAAGCCATCTATTAATGGTGCCTTATCAGAGAGCAGTAATATAGGCAATTGTTTATGGAGAATGGGACATATAGCAAAATTGAGATACCTTTAACTCCTAGGAACTGTTTATTTTCTTAAACAAACTAGCTACAATGGACAAGCACAAAGAAGGTTAAAGCCACATGACACTGGAATATTAAATGTTAAAATAGGAATTTAATTAAAGTCCAATCAAGGGGTGAGGAGCAGTTATCTCTTTGAAAAAGAACCTGAAAAGCCAAACGTCCAAGTTTTCCACCTGTTCAGCATATATTTGTTGGTCTGAGAGTTAAGACACTCTCAAAACCCTGCACACAAGCATAACATTATCCACATGTGTCAGTGGATTAGTGCATGTACATCAACAATCTGTAAATACATTTAAGAAACTGCACAAAACATTTTTAAACATTTGCAAATCCTGATTTCATTTGTAGAATGCATTTGTGGCTAGTTATGAGACCCCCACATACAGTTTGGGTCAAAATTCCTGGCCTAATTTTTTTCCCACTTTATGGACAATTATTTGCAATGGACCTGTCCCTTACACCTCATTCATTCTCTTTGCCTATTGTCTCTCCCCCCGCAAGTGTTCTGTTCCTTTCCTACAGCTTAAAGCTGGGGACTATAACTTTTACAAAAATCACTTTCTGTCATATTTGCTCCAACTGTCAGTAACACATAAGACAGATATTCTGTGAAAACATCAGGTTCCTCTGGCTCCTCCTAGTGCCTCTAAATCCATTTGAAAAAAATCCACCACGCCCAAATGTGAACTACCAATCACAGCCAGCAGGTGGTGCAACCCACTGTCAGTCATCTCCTTCACTTGTTAGCATACCTTCAGATCTGAGAGGTACCCATCCTTCTCTCTATAAGTTAATTAGGTGGCCGCTATTACAGTTGTTCTGAAGATCTTTCATAATAGGCTATCAGATTATATCAGATATTCAAAAGAATATTTCACAAGATGTGAGTCAATGAAAACATCAGCCAGTGGGCTGGATAAGAAACAGACAGCAACTCTAAATAGACTTGAAACATAAGAAATCTAAATAAAAGGCACATTTGCTGGCTTTCCCATCTGCATATAGGCTACCAAAGTAACATACTAACCTTAGCTGGCAGCTAATGCTGCTACATGTTCAGCAACGCTATAATGTAGCTGTTTTCACAAAGTTAGATTGCTTATTTCTAAACACATAGGTAATGAAATGACACTGAAATGCAGCAAGGGTACAGTCACTGGAAAACATTTTTATCCCGGTTTGAGGAGTAAACTTTACATTTGCTTCACTGTTCAGCTCTGTTGTCATTGTTATTAGTGTCTGCTTGCACAAGACCCCTCTCTGCAGGGAGGAGCTGCAGGAGCTAGGGCAGAATCTTAGTGGAGAGGCAGAGGCAGGGACATGGTCGTTGTACTTTTTTAAATTCTCTACTTAACCCTCCTGTTATGTTGCAGGTCAAATTGACCCACGAACATAACTGCTTTAAATGAGACAAATATTTGATATGAAGAAATGAACATAACAGGAGGGAACCCTCCTGTTATGTCCATTTCTCAGGTGATGCCTGCTCAGCAGTTATGTTCATGGGTCAATTTGACCCGCAACATAACAGGCGGGTTAAATCCACCCAATTCTCAAAGTTAGAGACCCCAGCTTTAATTCTTTGGGTGTACACTGCCCTAATACTGCAAAAGGTAGCCCAGATTATAGCCATTTGCCCAAATCAAATTTTACCTGTCCATTTAAAGGAGAAGTAGCACATATAGGTAGAAAGCCACACAATCCGGCAATACTAGTGCAGAAAACAGTGCATTTTTAAAAAAAGGTAGAGTAGGACTGTGTGCATACCTTCACTGCGGGCGATCTGTGGCAGGAAACGTACTGCTAGTCTCATCTGTCCTCGCACATTTGATGGCCCAAGAGAAGGTGTAGTCTGAAATGTTTCACACCGGATATATTACTTAAACACTAAGTCCAAAAATTCATTATGAAGCTCCAAAGGTTCTTTGTACAAGGGTAACAATAACATTAACCACAATGCGTGACATAACTAGCTCAAACAGATTTCAGATTCTTATCTACACTGCTCTTAGTAATAAGAAAACAACTGCAGTCTCTGTGTGTGTGTTTCTTCTTACCCTTGCTTTCAGGGCTAGGTCATTCATCTGGGGGTGGTCAGAGTACCACTTGGAGAGGTCCACGTCTACCTCGCCTAGGAAACTGTTCCTGCCAAAGGTGTCATGATGCCAAACGGAGAGAATGAGCGTCTGCGCTCTCAGGTCCTCCTCGGAAACACGATACTGTATGAACAGGGAAGAGTGAGCTACTTTTTTTCTTTTTAACAATGTCAGTCATTCTGAATATTAAGCATTACAGGGTGGGAATGTGTCTGTGTATGTGGAGCACAACTAATCATTACATCTGTGGATTCTTACTCTAAGGATCTCGTTGAAAGTTGGATTTAGTGTCTTCTTTTTTACAGATGTTTTCCTCTTTCCCAGATTAGCTTTGTCAGGAACTAGATAGGTTTTGACATACCTTAAAAAGGCAAAAAATAAAAAACAGCAACATTTTTACCTCAAAGGAGACCTAAAGAACAGTACCATCTAGAAGTAGCCACAGCTAATGGTCAACATTGGCTTTTCTCACATGCCAGTAATTTGTAAATAAATCTAAATAACACACTAAGAGTTATTTGCCTCCTGTGTTTGATGTTTGCAGGCAAACCAGCACTTCACTGGAAAAGGTGTGTGTGTTTTTCATACACGTCTTCAGTTATCAGAGAGCGAATGCTATATACAGCATGAAAACATTCAGAGAGTTAGTTCTCTGGGGATTTCAGATACAGTACTCACGGATTGGAGCGACCCCTCTTCAGGTCAACTGCAGCCAAGTTTCGGCACTCAGCCACAAAGATGTGAAACTCTTTGAGCTTCTGAATGTAGCTAATGGAAAACTGTATGTTTCCCTGAACATCAATATTCCCAAAGTCCCCACTGTACACGGTCATCACACTTCCACTCAACTAGGAGCACAAACAAACAAATAGGAAGTCATTTATATTATCAGCAATAACTGTAATCATTAAAGAAATGTTTAACTATTATGGTTCAGAAAATCCAGTCTATCACATAGAGTTAGAGGTCAAGGACTGAGCTACGTAGCTACTTACTTTAAAAAAGAACTTCACCTATCATCAAAGTCTGTTCACAAGTCTTGTGGAATACTATTACATAGAGTCTGTGAAAAAAAGCTGCATAAATCCTTTTGTGGCTTGTGAGGGAGCTACATGAAGTCTAATAAAATGACTCAAGTGATGTCACTTGAATCTCAGTGGTTTGGGGCTGAAATCTCCAAGTATGAAAATGAAAAAAGCTCATATGTATTGCAAGGTGTGGAGGGAGGAAGTAGGCCACTCTTCACCTCTACAGGCACAAGGTTACGGGGCTGTATCTTGTACTGAACATAAAGCCCCCTTGAGGCAAATTTGTGATTCTTTTTGTCTGCTTTCCCCTGTGTGCTGTGAAGCACTTTGGATCAGCTGTGTTGTGTGTGAAGTGCTATATAAATAAATTGAAATTGAAACCCCTGTTTTATTGGCTGTGATTCACTATCAAGTTCCAACCCATTCATCTGATAGAAAGGTCTGGGTAACTGTGCACCAGTTAATATAATCAGCTGCTTAGTCTTTATCCTCCAAGTCTTTTCTCTTGCAAAACCAAAGCTATTGCTAGAAAATACATCCAAAAAGACATAGATTTCACTTTTGCATTGTTTGTCCAAGTAAACATTTTAGTTTTTTATGCTTTATCTGAAGTGGGTTTTTTTATTATTATTAATTCAATACGAAGATAAAACCAGGACCATGCTAGGTTGCCAATGTTACCAAAGCAAACACATCAGCTTTAGATGCTAACACACTGAGAAGGAATAACAGCACATCTGAATTAAATTTAATTTGGCTGTTTTCACACTCTCCATCTCAAAAAGCCAAACAGATATTAAACCTGGGTTTAGCTTTTTTTTATTTTTTATGTCCCACTCTTTCTGTGCAAAACAATGCTACCTCTTCAGACTGACAGCCACTGACTTTCTGCTGCTGTTGTTTGGAAAAAAAAATGCTTCTTATAACTTATGCTAGGTGACAGGCAAGGCTAATTTACAGACCCTATTTTGACAACATTCCTGGCATAACAATAGGAAAAAGCTGTCATGGAGTGGGGCTAGGGTAGCTGAGAGACATCACATTCTGTCCCATTTTCACTTAATTAGCAGAGAGTGTGTAAAGTCTCATTTAATACACCTTTAAACATAAGGAACAGTTGATAAATTCTGGTTACCCAGCCACACCCTCACGCCACCTTTGTCGAGATTTCCCAGAGCTCTTCTAACGGATCTTATACGTATGACTCTCTCCCCTCAATGAAGGAGACAGTCCTGGACCTGGCTAACCCCTACCACAAGTCTGATGATGAGGAAATACTATTGCTTAAACTCTTATAAACTGAGAGGGGCATAACATGTCTTGATTTTTGAAATAGTGATGGCACAGAAAAAAAAAATCCACAATTTAAATTTATAAGCCCACAAGCAGTGCACTTTAAGAGAACATGTATAGCATGTTCATGTGTTAGTGATGCGTGCAGCAGTGCTGAACATACAGAAGACATAGACGCCTTGCCAGAGGAGTTAGTGAGGTTTGTCATTGAGCGGCCAATCTTTGGTCTTCCTTGGTAGTAACTGTCCTCACTGGAGTCATTGTCAGCATCCTGCAACACAGGCAGAAAGCACACAAAGCTCTATGCAAGAGGATGCAGAGCAAGCTTTGACCTACTGGACTAAAAGATGTGCAGGCAGTTTTACCTCCTTCTCTATGAATGAAGGAACTGATTTACTCATCTTCTTCAGGTGGTCTGGATCCGAAAATAATGGTGAGGAGGAGGACGGGATGGATGACACCAAAGGGAGGTTGACTGGGAAGCACAAGTTAAAAATAAAATTGTCACTATGCTTGTAAAAATATCTATAATGTAAAGATCAACCGGGTTTTTTTTTTAACCTTCACTAGAGCGTCTCATGTCAGCAGTTGTGCCATGTTTTCTTTCTTCTTCTGTGAAAAACAATCAGAGGAATCAGTCACCCAAAACTATTGGTCCATATGGAAAATTTTTGATTTGGATGTGGAGAAACTGCTCACGTGGCGATAAGGATGCTGTGATGTCACCCATACTTTTAGCCAGATATTTTGGCCGCGCTTGTGCTCGCCTCAGCGCTTTCCTTACAGGGTGCTGGCTGTCATCGTCACCTACATGTCATATTGGGGGAAAAAAAGCTTTGTTTAACTGGGCTTGTTTGCTGGCTTGTAGTAGGGACACATTTATTGAACATAATATTGAACAAACTATTTTTAACGGAGGATATAGTCTTTGTTTTACTTTCTAACTGCTCATAAAAACGACAGTACTGAGGTAGTACTTTGAGCTATAATGTGACCTGAATGTATGTGTGCTTATACTTAGGGCTGCAACTAACCTCTATTTTCATAATTTATTAATAGGCAGATCATTTAGTTTATAGAACACAGGAACATATAAAAATGTTCATCAATCTAGTATCTTAGGCTAAAATGTGACATCATTAAATATCTTGTTTTGTCCAATCAAAAGATATTCAAATTTCAACTTAATTTTTATTAATAGGTTTATTTTTGTTGCGTCCATGTATGTTATGCCTACGGTAGTCATTGCTGTCTAGATAGAGGGAGGGGATTATTTAGATTCAGTTTACAATTTTGATTCTCTGACAATCACGAACCGGCAAATGTTTAGCAATTTTGCTGAAAGATGAATTAAAAGTGATCATCTTCTGATTATTTTTTATTATTAATTGACTAATCATTGCAGCTCTACTTATGAGTACACACAAGTCTCAAACCAAGGTATTCCAATCACATGTAGGAACTGACAGATAATGCAGATAATGAATATTATCCTTTCCTTTCTCGAAGGTAAATGCTTACTACTATACAGTGTATATTGTTAGAGGAAGATTTTTCTTTGCCCTGTCTGTATTTGCCAGCATAAAATGCTGAACAGCAGTGCATCCAATACTCAATACAGTAAACTTGAAATTTGTGTACTCTGTAAAATACTGTGTTTTAGGGCTACATATCTTATAGGCCCTTCTTGAAAACTGATGGCTTGAGGCTGATGTGATATTGCTCAAGTTATATGTTGGTGGAACATTTTTGTGTGTGTGCGTAGTGTCTGTAAAGTCAGAACTATGTACTCTCCAGCCCACAAACTAAACATAGCTGAGCTGAGCTCAGAGTGTTTACAGATATATGCTTCTACCAACACAGATAACACAGCATGGACGTGATAGCAAGGATAGTGCTGGATACAATCCAGCCCAAAGGGATAATAAATTGCCCATGACTATGCAAACAGCATGAGCTGGACTATTTCAAAATGTTGAGTGATGCTTTATTTCATTACATTAAAGCTATAGCATGTAACTTAAGGTAGCACTAACATGAAACTGCAAATCAGTCCGCTCTGCTCCGCCCAGCACTCCCTCTTCCTGCTCCACCACACATTGCCCAGCTCTTCAGAGATTTGTTGTTATGAAATTACAATAAATGAGAAAGCAACAAAACCTACTGATCAAGCAGAAATAATTGAAAATCCCTGGCTGGTTAGAGAGGTCAGTCCCTCCAGAAGCTGCTTAAAAAAGCCCAGCAGAGACTGTACTTCCTACAGGTGCTCAGGAAGAACAACATCTCCCAGAGACTGCTGGTGTCCTATCGGTGCTCCATTGAGAGCATCCTTACATACTGTATATGTGTACGGTGTGGCAGCAGCACAGTGGCTCAGAGGAAAACGCTCCAGAGGTTCATTAAGGACACTTCACACCCAGGACATTCACTCTTTGAACTGCTGCTGTCAGGTTGACTGTTCAGAGCAATCAAATCAAGGAACGCTAGGTTCAGGAATAGTTTTTACCCAACAGCAGTAACCACTCAATGCTGCTAAAATAGAATATGCCTGTATGTGTGTGAGGGGGGTGAGAGGTCTGTTTTTTATTTCGTTTTTCTAGCGGTTATGTTTTTTCTGGTTTTACTTCATATATTACGTTTTTTTATTGCTGTAAAACAGAAAAGAAAAAAATGTGTTCAAAGTGTACTATATGTTCTTAATTTTTTTTTAAAATCTTATTTTGTGTAGCAGCACTATGGGATAGTCTGGAAAAGTTTACATTTAGAGGTTGGTAAATAAATTTGTTCAACTGTTTTATTTTTGCCACTGTATTTTATTTAGACTTTTTAAAAATCTCTTTATATTGCATACATCTTTGGGTACATTTAAAAGCGCTCTATGAAACTAATTTATTTACTAATTTATTATTATTATTGTTAAAAGTACTAAATACCAACATTTAGCTTACTGACAAGGACCAGAATGAACTTCCATGATCAAAACTCAACTCTACTTTGTCCTTGTACTTTCGTTCTTGACATAAAACTGTGACTTATTTAGGTTAAAAATTACAGTTTCAAGAACAACTCACACTAAAATATTTGCTGGTTAAGGTAGCAGTAACAGAGTAACGCATGTTGACATATAAATGAGAATTTCAAATCTTATCCTTCGGTATACAAAAAAAAAACACAAAACAAAAAAAAACAACTGCTTCAACAAAAGAAAACTAAAGTTGGTGCTCACGATTTGAACTGCTCCTCGAGTTAGACCAGGTTTCTGAAGTGCTGCTCACAGGAGACTCCTGGCCTGTGTCTGAGCTGCTGTTGTATGCACAGCGCCGACTCTTCTGGTAGGCCTTCCTGCTGTAACGTCCCCCTGAACTTACTGGGGTGCTGGCTGTCAGCGGACTGCTCAGGTCTACTTCACATTCAGATTTGCCCTCCGATCCCTCGTCCTTTACAGCCAGGGAAAGCGAGGTGGGGACACTAGTTGTATCTGTAATCCCCAAGCAATGCTGGTTGTGTTTGGGAACGAATGTGCGTGCACGTGGAATCGGAGTCTCCGTTTCCTTTGATGAGCTTGTCAGTACAGCATCCTTTTCAGTGTTTTGTGTCTGCTTTTTGCTCTGGGAATGGACGTGGCTTGAATCCATTTCAATCTGGCCTTGATCTATTTCATCAGCATCACTCAGAGCGAACATGCTTGTGCTATGGAGTAAAGAATTTCCACCACTGCTTAAATTGCTCAAGCTTTCTTTTTTGCTCTTAGGAGAATGAGTCTGTTTTCCTGAACTGCTTTTTGGTTTTGTGGAGTTCTCCTCTGTATTTGAGTCTTTGGAGCTTCTTCTGGACTCAGCTGTAGTATAACTGGACTGGTTGTGGTTCTTTTTGCTGTCATTCACTGTTGTCCCAGAACCCATCAGTTTGTCATGCGGCAAATTTGATTGTTTCTGTAGAGGTGGAGTCGATTTCAAGGCAGCTGGTGTTGTTGTCTCAACAGTGGGGGATGTGTGGTAAATCTTAGGGTCATCACACTGCAACTCCTGAGGTGGGCACTGGGCATTTACTGGCTGTTTTGTTTTGGGGCTTTGGGGTTTGACAAAGGACACTGATTCCTTGGTATCTGATTTGCCTGCATCCCAGAATTCACGCAGAGTGTCGAACTGTGTTCGGCTCAGGCCAGGAGACAAAATTTCTGTCGTCCGATTCAATGGAGCAACAGTGTGCTGATTTCTATTGGAGTCGTCCTCATTACTACCTAAGCCATTTCCAACTGAACTTAGATCATACTCTGACTTTGTCAGTCGTTTATTGAGTTTTGGACCAAGAGATTTTGGTTTATCATTGTAAGGCATAGGCTTGTTCTTATCCTGCTCCCAGAAAGATTTGAGCTGCTTAATCTTCTCTGCTGTACTTTCTTGATGTGGACTGTTAGTTCGGTCTTTACTGGACTCCTCCTCTATTTTTCTAGGAGACGTGCTTGATTGCATGTTTTTATCCTCACTGTCCATCCTCTTTATGTCTTCTGATAGTCTGTGTGCTTGTGCTTGTGCTTTAGGCACGATTTGGGCACTGAACCCACCTTGCTTGTTTCTGGACAGACAGAGCTTCTTAGAGTCTGGACCATCCTTTCGTTGGAGATCTGTACCCAGCTGAGACAGAGGAATAGTCACTGATGGCTCTTCTTGCTGTGAAGTTTCTCTAGATTGGGAAACACTGTCAGACCCTAGATCTGGTTTCACTGTAGAGATGCTTTCCCATTCTGGACTCACTCTGGACTGAGTGGCTGGCTTTGGCTCCAGACTGGTTACACCTAAAATCTCCATATCTGAATCATTTCTGTCTGCTACTTTGGGACTGGATGGTGACTTTAAATTATTTGAGCTGAGTATTGGGTCATTGTTGTTTATCTGAGTTGAAGTATTTATAACCAGACTGTCTGTGTGTTGGTTATTTAAATGTACACTGTCCTCAGTATCATTATGTGCACTGGTTACAAACTTTTGTTCTCTTTCCTCCCCATGTTTTGAGGTGTAGTCATCATAAATCCCCCTCTCACTGTACATTCCAGGGGTCATATCAGACATTTCATGGGGTTTGTTCATGTTCTCCTCATCTTTCTGTGCTGACAGGTGAACAAGTTTCTGTTCTTTGTTGCTGGACGTGACTGACTTGCTGGTAACCTTAGGGCCTGTGGTGCACTGTTCCCAGAATGACTTCAAATGAGAAATGTTCGCTGCTTGGTATTCATTGTCATTATCTTTCAATTGCTGTGACTGGATTTCCTTCAGCACATCCTCTTGTGTTTCACTCTGTTCTTTGTTGTCAGTTCCATCTGTTGCTATTGAATCTTTAGCCTCACTGATCTGTCTTTGTAAGAGACTTCTCTTCATTTCAGGAGTTTCCCTCTTTTCATCACTTTCAAATTCCCCAGCATCATTTGTCAATGAATCTTCACTTCTTAATTTGCTAATTTCAGCATGTTTGTCAGAGCTCTCATATTCATCTTCTGTATCTAGCCAATCATTGCTGTCTGTGCTGCGGCTGAACCAGTCCAGCACCTTTGCAATGGAGTCCCCATCATCACCAGTGGGACTGGTGGCCTGAGGGGATAATTTGAGCACATGTTTTTGTTTTGATTTCTTCTGCTTTTGCTGATTAGATTTATCAATGAAGTTGAGATCGTAAGATACAGGAGGATCTGGATCTGAAAAGAAAAGGTATTAAAAGAGAATTCACCTGGTCAGAATACAATCAGAAGAAGCGACAACTGTCTGTCCTGCAGAAGGTTGGCCTCATCTCCCAGAAGCCTACATTTTTAACATAGTATAACAGACCATAAACAAATTGCTGCAGTAACCTAAAATATCATCTTAAACAGCACTTGAATTATACTGCAGGTTTTCTTAACTAAAAATACTGTTAAAAACCTTTTGAGGCATACTACCAGCATTTCTGTAAAAGTAGATCTGTGGGTCAGGTCACCACTGTGGCATAGACTGAAATACAGTGAGGAACAGAAGTATTTGAACACGCTGTGATTTTGCAAGTTCTCCCACTTAGAAATCATGGAGGGGTCTGAAATACACATTGTAGGTGCATTCCCACTCTGAGAGACAGAATTAAAAAAAAATTTCAGGAAATCACATTGTATGATTTTTAAA